GAGCACCAAAACAAATGTTTTAAAACGCACTTATGTACATAGAAAAATGGATAAGATGAACTCGTGTTGCTCTGCTGAAATTTAGCAATTTTTGTTGGTTTGGTTCGTAACCTAAAATTACGATTACAAATAGGACAGACAGGAGGATACAATTCTGACCTTAAATTAGCCGCATAAGTATTACAACAGCTAAACAATTATTATTAGGACAGCAAAAGAAAGAATCAAAATGATTTCTAAACTTAAAACTCACAAAAAATTTGTATTAAAAAAAAATTAAATATGTATACAAGTTTTTTGCTATGATGTTCAGTTACTCTAGCATTATCACAAAGTCTTAATTTTCAAGCTAATATTCACAGACAGCGTTTACCAAAAAAGTGGAATTCAACAAACTTTTGCATTAGATATTTTTTTACATATACAAGTATGTATGTAAATCCATAAAAAAGGAATAGAGGAATTATATTTGCATATTTACGAATATTTGAATAAGAATCGGATTTTTCATGACAATTCTGAATATTTTTCAGCTTCGAAGCACACTAAACTTTTAAATGCTATGTATGTTTGTAACTGTCCCGCCCATAACGATCCACTCAAATATTTAAAACTGACAAACATTTAACAATTTGAATGCTTGAAAGTCTTTTAAATGGAAAAAGGCGTCGCTCTCAGTAAACTATAGAAAATGCGGCATTATGGATTTTATTAATGATACATATAGTAGTAGTATATGCAGACTATACATCGTTGCATATTCAATACGCCTTTATGTTGGAGCCGTTGCGCCAAAAGCGAACAACAACAACGACAGCAACAAAAACAAGAGAAATAAAAAAAAAAAGAATAGGAGCTGCCATGAAACTCAACACCAATCACATGCAAAAATGTTGACATCAATGAATGTGCGGCGGTTGGTTCGCCTCGCTCAGCCGCTGTCCAGTCGACGGTCGGCGGTTGGTACGCCTCTCCTCTGGTGGTCACTCCAAATTGCCACACATTGCAGCGAGCATCCGTTGCCGTTGTTGCATGCCACATCAACAGCAATTTTTGCTTAAATTATTTACAAAAAAATGAAAACAAAAGCAACAACAATGACAGCAAACTGTTCGTCATTGTGTGTGTGTGTGTATTGTTTACAAATAAATTAAAATTCTTTGATAACAAAATGTGCAACAAGAACAACAACAGCAACTATGCTTCATATATCTGCTGTCGTTGCCGCCTTTGCTGATCTATTGGGAACGTGCCGAGACATGTGCTGCCATCGTTGCAGCCGCCAATGCCGCCGCAGGCGCTTAAGCATTGTTATGTCATCATTACCAGCTACCAGCAACAACAACAACAACAACAACAGCAGCAACAATTGTCGTTGTCTGCAATGTGTGCCAACCTCTCTTGCCAATGCAGCAGCAATGCGGCGCTTTTGTGGTTGCTTTTGCTGGCCATAGTGTCCAGAGACCGTCCCCCCCACCCCATACGCATATCGAGCGATAAAGCAAAGCTAAGTAAAGCAATGCAAAAACCATGCCAACCTCTATGGCTGTTGTTGTTCTTCTTGTTGCTTTGTTTTCGTTGTTTTTGTCGCCGCGGACATTTGCAATAGAGACCTATATTCATACTCAAACATGTACATACATACATACAAGTATGTCCATGCATGGTTGTTGTGGTCAAATGAATGGTTAATGTGTTCAGGCATTAAACGGCCTTGTGCCACACACACACACACACACACACACATCAGCACACCTACAGCTGAGCGACCCCAAATGTGGCCGATATGGCTGGACAGGCCTTGTCAACTGCTGCCCTTTTCTCAATTACATTTTAATATCATGTCGTGCAATTTGTTTCATTATTTTAATACAGTCGAGCTCAAACTAATAGAAATTTCCCACAACTAATAACCAATAAATAAGCGTATTATTTAACTTGTCAGCGCAACAGTTTGGAATGTAATATATACATAGTTGTACATACATATACAGAAGCGCCACATTTGTTTTTGAAAACTCCCAAAGAATTCGTCGTCGCCACATAACTTCGAAAAATCTTATTTTTTCGAACTTCCCCTCCAAGCAACAGGTGACTGTCGACGCTCACATTTGACAGACTAATTCTGTAAAAATCCTGTAACGCACTATGTTAACTAAAAAACAAATATGCCATTTGCATAAACGCCAATTAGTTGTTGAAAAAATACAACACAAATGCATCTGATCCCACAAAAGAATGTTGCTTATTCAAAATTACATTTATTTTACATTTTTTCTAACATCATTTCGATTTTTTCGCATTTACGGGGTGTACTTCCATAAGTTTGACGAAAATTGCGTCCTATTGTAGCGATCTACGTTTTGCAAAAATTTGCATTTGAAATTAAATTCAGAAATTACAAAAATGTACTTACATTTTGTTTTCCTGTCCAGCCATTTGAATATACAAAAATGGCAGGACATTTAGTAATTTGCTAATTTAATAATATTTACGTAGGATATATTTTTGATGCAGATTGTTCAGAAAAACTATAAGGTTTATATTCCAATGATTATTTTTATTTGGAAAAATGTCTTAGTTAGTGGTTTTAATAAAAACTCCTAGAAAAGTAAACAAGATTTGAAACTTCCCAAAATCAATTTCTGTGTGTGTCCGTGAATTGGTTTTGAGGCGAAACTTGGGCGGAAGAGATTTCTGTGGCACTCCTGATAAGGTCAGAAGCTGCAGCAACACTTTCTATTGTACAGTAGTGCAGTCTGTTTCTTCACAAGTCTTTTCTTCTTCTTACATTTTAGTTTGTATTCATACAACAGGATCTGCAATGCTACGTCTTTCTAAACAAAGTATTCGATGGGAACATGCAGGCATATCCTATAAAAAAATTATTATAGTATTTGTAAATAGTAGTGGGCGAAGCATCGATCTAGAGTCTAGACACTCCTCCTTTATTCCTTTGAATAAAAGCCTAAATTTTAGTAACCAAATTTTCATGGAAGCCAGAAATTTGAACAAGAAATGGCAATTAAAATGTATTGTTAATTTTTTGCGAAAGTGTGCAATTTTCTTCTTTCTGCATTTCTATGCTTTTGACCATAGCTGTAGTACAAGTATTTGTTGCTTGTCTCTATACTCTAGAGTCTAGACTTAACCACCATTTGGTTAGCAGTGTATTTCTAATTGCTGATGTTGTTCTTGGCCGAGTCAGTTAACTGTTGGACAGCAGCTGCGTTTGATTAGAACTGGCGTATCAATTTTTGCATCATAAATTATTAAATAAGCCATTCATTCAAATCCAATTACCGTTACAATATTACGGAGCTCCCCCCGACACTAACTCGAGTCGAGTGGGTTCCATTGTCAAAAGCACCGCTGTTTGTTCCTCCGATATACTCAATATATGAGTTTATCAACCTCTTGCAATTGCAGTCCCCGTTGTCCACATGACCATATATACATACATATGTATATACTATATTTATTTATATGTAAACATGTATGTATGTATGTATGTATGTACTCCTATATATGGGTGCGTGTCTGTGCAGTTTTCGATATTGTTGTTCCCGTGGCCGTTGTCGCTGCCGTTGCCGTTGGCGCCGCTGTTGCTTTTATTGTTGTGGTTATCAGCTGCTGCCATCGCGCCGTAATCAATCGATTAGCCAACTGATAGGTTAAAGTACTGAAATATAAACAAAAGCACACACATACACGCATGCATATAAACATAAATACTTGTATAAGAGTATGAGATATGAAATATGTACATGTTTGCTCAATAAAACAACACATGAGATTGTTATTTTTGTGTGCAGATGCGCGGCTCTGTGTCTCTGATTTTGCCATAATTACGGGTATAGTGATGTATTAGTCTACGGGGATTCCTGGTATGAGTGAAGCTTTTAATATGCAACATTTTCCATATCTCCAATATAACTATTCATTAATGTGGGGCTTCAAAGTAATTGCAGAAATGTTTGATCAAAAACGGCTCATAGGCTAATAAGTCACTAACTGATTAAACGTATTAGTTCTTAGAATTCATCTATTCCAACTTTTTCTAAGATTTTCTTACATCATTTAAAGATGAGTAATAATATACTCATTTACATATAAATTGTAAATAAATAGCAATATGTGTGTATTGGAATACATACAACAATATAGAAATAGTAATTACCAAGAAAAAATATGATAATCTAAGGGGATGCAAAGGCATTTAAAAAAAAAAAAAAAAAAACGCTGTTCTAGTGAATCTTTGAGGAAACTCAAAATATTATTTTAATGAATTAATTATTATTTTGTTGTTAAAAGAAAAATTCTATTAAAATTACAATAATATCCAATATTTTTCAGAGACAAATGTAGTTAAACCTAAAAAAAATATAGGCTATCGAGAAATATGTAGTTTGGAATAATCCATACATCATTTTAACTTAAAAGATAATCGTATAATTGTGTTTCGATCATATAACTAATATACGAATTTGCTCTTATGGGGTTGCTACTATGGTTCACTATTGATTTATTATCTTTTCTAGCTCCCACAATTTTTTTTTATATTTTTTTGCAATGGTTGGCACTGCGATGCATCATTCCGTTAGTGGCTTCGGGGTAGAAACCATATTCGAACACTACCAAATTATTTCTGCAGCAAATCTGTTGTTTTATGCTGCCCCCTTTAATTGATAAAACAGTGTCGGGTCAAAAGGTTTTGATGCGAAATTTCAAACCAGATGATATACGGGCCCCGGGCTTGTATGTATTATTTGCAAACCCGTTTGCTTCAACTGCCAACCTCTGGGTCGACGCATTGTGCGAAAATGCCAACGAAATTTCAACTGCTAGTTGCGGTTGTTGTGCTGAGCTTTGGCGACGACGGACAGTTACCGGAGGCAACCACTCCATTCCTTCCACACACCCACTGCTATAACTTGTCTTGTCCAGCTTGGCATGCCACTCATGTTGCCATTTCTTCTCTCTATCTCCTCCCGTTGCAGACACATCCCGAAGGCCAAAGCAACAGCAATCGCAGATACGCCCGAACTGAAGCGCATTGCGGAGAACACAAAGATCCAATCGAATGTGAAATATCATGCGGACTTTGAGAAGGCCAAAGGCAAATTTACACAGGTCAGTGTTGCGGCTTGAACTCTACGGAGAGGAATCTCAACTGTGCATTATTATTAATTTTCATAAATTCCCTCTAATTGGCATGCACATTACTATTACTGGACGGACAGGTGGCAGACGACCCGGAAACGTTGCGCATCAAACAAAATACGAAGCACATATCGAATGTGGCGTATCACGGCGATCTGGAGAAGAAGGCCGCCATGGAGAAGCAGCGCGGCTCTGCCGAGGTCTCCGATAGCAGCAGTGAGTATCCCAATCTCTCTCTCCTCCCTCTATCCTCTATAGATATATAGATAGAAGGCTAACTGACGTCATTGCCGCAAAAGCTGCTTTCATATTAATTTAGTTAGTTGGCTAGTCAGCCGCTCAGTCAGCTAATTAGTCATAAGGTTTAGGTACATACTATCTACCTACCTCCTCCAATTGAAGCTTTATTGTTTGTTTTTCGGCTTGATTTAATGTTAAACATTTGTACATTTCACACGCACCACAGAACCACCGCGCACCACACCACACACGCATTTCCTTCCATTGTCAATAAATAAATTTAATTTCAATTTGTGCGTGATAATAATCTTAAATTGCGGCTGTCCGTTATGTGATATGTGACTAACTTCCATAGTTTAATCAAATAATATTATACAAAATTAATGCACATCGAAATCCTTACGCACAGTGGTGCACAGTTAATTTCTCTGTTTGCGTTGCAAATAAATGTAAATAAATTCAAGCGAAACATATATCGTAATATCTGTATGATATGCTTATGTACTTGAACCGTAGCTCAAACGTTCATAGACCGATTTTAAAGTCGTTGACTGAAATTATGACAAAAAATCCGAATTCGGTCACTCCAATTATTCTAATACTGATCTTGGAAATTTCAACTTTGATCCAGGAAATAGTAAAAACGTTATCTTTGTGCTATACATATTGGTGAATCTTTTAAATTGATAACTTTTTCTGAATAGAACGAACAGCTCATTTTTGTTTTTACTGATTTATTACACTTAAGGAATTTTAGTTTTTTTTAACTATGTGCTGTTACTTTTCAAAGACTATGACTTCATATATCGATGATCTAATCAATTAAGTAAACTTTAGTTAAGCTCTAACTCTGTTCAAGTCTTATTAGTGACTTACCACCTTCTATCCGTTTCCTTGGGCAAAAGAAGAGAAATATTTGCACAATGCCACAATATTTTCATGGGATAGTTTTCTTTGTCTATAGTATTAATTTTTTGTTTTGCAATCAAATACACTTTGCACCACTGTGTACCTATTTCATTTCTGCATCGCATACAGCTGCTACACACACATGTCATCATTAATATTGATTATATATGTATATGTATTCTTTTTGTTTCTTTTGTGCTATTATTGCGGATTTGAATTTTGTTTTGCCATTTTTGTACGTCATCACAAAACCAACAACAACAACAACAACACGAACAACAACAAATCATCATTATGTGTGTTTAATTAAACTATCGTTAAATGACAATAAATAAATAAAACACTCACATAAATAAAACACTCAAACCACACACACACACACATACACCAATCAATGCATCACAATCAACCATGTATGTGTGTATATTTAACCAACACTAACAATTGCAACAACAACAACAACAACCAACTACTACCTCTACAAAAACAACAACCACCTTGCGTTGCTGGGATATACTTGTATTTAATGCATATTAACAACGTTGAACGCAAAAAAAAAAAAGACGAATCGGAATATTTCTCTGAGCAATTGGCAGCTGAACAATTTTCGCAATATGCACCCACAGCCTCGCCGATACCACCGCCAACAGTGCAGCATCACCAGCAGCAGCAGCAACCACCACAACAACAACAACAACATCACCACTACCAGCAACAACAACAGAAGTTGTCGCCACCATCGCCAAATCACATACCACAACAACAACAACAACATCAACACTATCTGCAACAACAACACCAGACACTGCCACCGCCACCCATACAACACCAACAATACAATACAGCGGCAATTACGCCCACATATCAACACCAACAACAGCAACACCAACAGCAAAATCACAACAACCACCACAGGCAACAAGTGCAACAGCAACCGCTGCACGATCCATACGCACACTATCAGCAACCACAGGCGCTGCGTCAGCAACAACAACAACACCAGCAGCAACAGCAACAGCTGCAACAGCAGCAGCAACATGCTATTAAACAAACATCACATCTGTATCCCGCAGCACAATCCCAACAGCAGCAGCATCAGCAGCAGCAGCAGCAACAACATCAACAACAATTGCTCTTGCAACAGCAGCAACAACAACAGCCCTCGTCGGGCAACAGTTATAGTCAATTGCGTTCGGCAATTTTGCATAACTCACATCATCCCAGCGGCAATGCCACCGATCAATTCGATTCCATGCGTTCCTCCTCCACAATGCTGCCACCGCCTCAACAGCAACAGCAATTGCAGCAGCAGCAGCAACAGCAACTTCAACAGCAGCAGCAGCAACAACAACTGCAACAGCAGCAGCAGCAACAACAACTGCAACAGCAGCAACAACTTCTGCAGCAGCAGCAACAGCAGCCGGTCCATATTGCCAGCAGCGTTCTGAACAATAATGCGAGCAGCACCAACAATAATTCCGCCGCCTACCCACAACAGTCGCGCTCCAACACCAACAACATCACACCCTATGCCACCAGCAGTGCTAGTGGCACATCCATGTCTGCCAATGCCGCAGCAATCAGTGCCAAGCAGAGCGCCGGAAATGTGCAGCAACTTTATGCGGCCAGCAATTACAATTCGCAGACACCTTCGGAGGGTTCGCTGGCCTCCAAGGCACCACACACAACCAATGGCAGCAACCACGCCTTGCTCAACAACATGAATCCAGCGACAAGCACGATTAGTGCCAATGGTGGCTTCCATGCCGCACCGCCCTCCAACATGAGCGCGGCCAATAATATTGGAAAAATAGCCGACTACGATCCACTAACCGATGGACCACGTGCCATGCCCAGCACCGGACGTTCGAGCACTACCCTGGTCTACAGCTCCGAGCAGCGAGGCACAGGTGGTGGTAAGTAGTAGTCGAAGCTAGTTATGCTAGACACCAAACAGTATACAGTAGCATTCAAAATAGTTCAGTCCCAATCATGTTGTCATTCGAACTGTGTCCCTGTCTGCTATAACCTGTAAAGCAATGTGACAAATTGTCTGACTTAACACTCCCAAATACTTGTATTAGACAGAGTCAGTAACCACAAAGTCTTTCCCCCGCAGGAAACAGCATCTATCCGAAACGTATTGGTTCGGTTCAGGACATTGATCCCGCTAATGGCATTTACGGCTCGCTGAGCAGCGAACAGCTCTCCGCCCAGCAGAAGCAACAGCAATACTATCAGCAGGTCCAGCTGATGCAGCAGGAGCAGCAGCTGCGCCAACAGCCCTCCTACGACTCCTTGCAGGAGAAGACTTCACGCCAGAACGCACTGGTAAGTAACACAAGGCAGGAAGACGGTTAGACAGGAATAGTAGCACACAGCTCAGACAATGGGCGCGTTCACCAGGTTGTAGCGATTTCTGATTTCTGATTTATGTTTGTCGATTATTGATTGTGATCTGGTGACCGCTTGTGATGACTGTTTTACAAAAATATTGTGATTTTAGTATTTTCTGACAAAAAGTCGCAGTCGCAGGTAAAAATGTAGCTGTCACTGTGTTTTAGATAATTGGTCACATTATGCATTTGAGCATCATTATCCAAAAGAATTTGCAAATTTTCTGCAGGCAACTTTTTCATTATTGAACGCGCCTATTAATATTCTTTGCCAAAATCGGGCACATAATAATCCCAGAAATTTAAAAGCAAATGGAAAATATTTTAGCAGGCTTAGAAAAATATATTTCTGATATTTAAGGAAGTTGAATTTGAAAGTAAGCAGATTATTTATTTTTGAGACTTTTCCAGTAGCAAGTTGGAATCAAAAATCGGGAAATCATTAAATAGCTTGAAAGGAAATATTTATAGGTAGTTGAAATGCTCATATCACTACAGGAATATAGAATCGTTAGTCGTGAAATTATTATGATAACACACACAAACCCAACACTTATTGTTAAAATGGAAACCTATGATTTTTTTTCTTTTTTCTCTAATTAAAATGTAAAATGTTCATATTTTACTTATTTAGATGGATAAAAATATTTAATTAAATTACTACAAAATAATATTCAGGGCTATTTTCGATTGCGAATTATCTCAAAAGATTCGAAATTGTCAAGTAACGCAATTTATTTTATTTAGCATATATTTTGAGACCGAATAAATTGATCGATTTAGACTTAACTGTATTGATCAATTTCTAATTCAATTCATCTACAATACAAAAGCCCAAGGGGGTTCTACTATAGAGTATTTTATGATGGAAATTTTTGTATTCTCCCAAAATAATAAGCAGAGAAAATGCTAGCTATACTTTTCTATTACAATCCAGCACCTTCAAACTTATGATTAATGAATCTTTTTATAATTTACAGCGCGTTTATCGCGCCATCTACGACTACGAGGCGCAGGACGTCGACGAGGTCAGCTTTCGTGAGGGTGATGTCATCTTTGAGGTGGAGTCCATCGATTCCGGTTGGATGACCGGCCGCGTTGAGCGCACTGGCCAGACCGGCATGCTGCCTGCCAATTATGTGGAGCAGGCGGTTATATAATAGGGAATGTTCTACTACTGCTGCTGCCGCCAGCAGTTCGTGGTCATACTGATCTGCCTACTGTACATACTGTTCGTGCTAATCTTCTTCATCAACGTCTTTCTGGCGGACAGTAATTTACATGGCGCGGGCGGCAGAGCCGGCGGCGGCAGCAGCAGCATGGGAGGAGGCAGTCATCACCAGAATCCCTATGATAATATGCACGGCTACCATGGCAATCACCAATACAACAACTATCATCCACAAATGAATGCCAAACAGCAGCAGGACGCAACACGGAAGACTCCCAACCAGCAGCAAGTGGAGCAGGACATTTATTACTATTTCAATCATGTATTCAAGCGACGACGATGAAAAATTGAAGCCCGACCCAATCCGAACCGTTTCAGTATCGCGTTGTCAGACTCCAACATAGTATATAGTAGCTAACTATATAGAAAGCAGCAAAGAACAAGGTAGAACGTGTAAAAAGTGCAGCAGCAAATAATTGTAGAATTAATAGCCTAACACGCTGTTCTAATGGCGACCGTGCCAACCGGTTACTAAGACTATATAAAAAGGCAATATATCTGATTAAACCAACCAACCAACCAAGCAATAACTGCAAATACAAAATGAATATTTAGACCAATAATGGGTTTTTTGAATTGGATTTACACAGCTGATGGTCTGAAACTTACAATACAAGTACATGCCAAGTTTGCATTTATCTACAAAAAGGCAGCAGTCTATATGTATACTATTTATTGATCGATAAATATACAAACCTATAGTAGCGCTCTATCATCTAATCATGTTCTATACTAAACTAAAATTTCAATTCAATACAATGCAACTAAAAGTAAACTCTTAAACGTCGTACCAATCTTCAACTTGAGCTTGAAGCCAACAGCAATTGCTAGACAGAAATTTCAGCAATAGTATCTAATTAAATTAGATTAATAGAGTCTAGTATTTGTAAATGTAAGATATAAACTCTATTTGCTAAAAATGCACGCACTAAGAACGCAGCTAGCAACATTTATGCCTAGAAACGAGGAGGAAATTGTTAATTAGCAGAACTGCCAACTGGTTTTGCACTGAACCGCTCCAGAATCGAAAACTGCGGACTTTCGCTGATCCAGAAGCTAAAATCGAACCAATTATAATATTTATTTTTAAAATTATACAATCTTACGATTCTATTTCAAATCAATAAAATCAACGATACACAAAATATGAATTTTAGGTTCACCGTGAATTTCGACAGTAGCCTTCATGGAAATATATTCGGAACTTAAGCCTAGCACTTGGAAATGAATCAGAGCTACAATTTCGCTAAACCGAACTGCAACCATTACCCTGCTCGCATAAATGTTGAATTACGCTTTTTAAAAGCCTAATGCTAATGCGCTCTGGTAGATGTGGGCATATAGTATATCCCTACACTTTTGTCAATTTAAACAATATGTAAAAATAGGAACAATTCTTGTTGCATACTTTTTGAGGTGAGAGCTAAACAGCGCAAACTTCAGCTCTAGTATATACTTATATATATATATGTTTTTTCTTTAATTAATTGTTTTCATCTGTAGTATTAAATCTTTGTTTCGTTTCACAAATTGAAATCCTTGAAGTGCCTTTGATTTGCTAAAATGTTTTTTAGATAAAGAAAATTGAATAGGCTTACGCAAAAGGCAATTATACACAAATAATAATAGTTTATAGAAATATCTATATACACATACTTACATATACATAAATAATACTAAATGTTTAACACAATATGGATAATGAAAGTGAAAACGAATTTTAAGCAACTGCAGACTTAATTAAAACGTTGAAAGCCTACAATATTCTATATACATACTATAATTATTGTATACATATTGTGAAATGAAATGAATAACAAATTATATACACTAATTTATAATGCTGGATTTATTGTGATGGATGTTAGAAAGTGGTGAGAAAAGTCGCGTCATCAGTTGTAACTTAAACAAATATATACAAATATACTATTATTTAATGGTCATCTCCACACAGACAGACACACACATACATACACATAAATATTCAAATATGCTCACACTAAATAACGTAATTACTATCGTAAATATTAACGCTGCAATTGTATTATGAAATAAATATAAATAAATAAATATATATATGTATGCCTATTAACTAACCCGTAAACGGAACAATTACATTTATAAACAAAAGCTGAAGCAGCGCCAAAGGCTTCGATTTGAATGTGTTACAAATAAATAAAAAGAAAACTCAATGCATGCACTTTTTTCCTTAAATTTTTAATTCAATTTGCAATATATATGGCATCGATTCTTCGCCTACACACATATAGCATTTAAAAGTACAATAATAATAATGCAATACGCGTTTAAAATTTCAAATACTGTCGCTGGTGGGCATATCGGGCAATGCCGTGAACTTCTCCCGAGTGGTTTGGATCGTGTCTAGTATTATCGTTCTGGTGTTCAGCAACGATTCTTCGAAGAATTTGGCATCGTTGCGCTTCTCCTCAGTCAAATAATCAAGTTTCTCCGTTAGCATCGTTATCTTTTCCTGTGCCAGTTCCAATCTATATAAAATCCCTCACCCATTTAGCCGCCTGTTTAATACTTAAGGAGCAAATAACACTTACTGATTTTTAATGTCTTCAATTTTGGGCTCAGCCACACCCACAGAGTTGAGCGTGGATACTGATTGGCACTGCGATTGATTCTCGAAGGTGAATGAGCTGATGGAGCTACTGAGGGAAGTACGACTCAGAGAGTTGGCATAGTCGGCCATGCGTTGTGTGCGCTTCTTGCGATCAGATTGCACGTCCAGCTCCTTCTCCAATTCACCTTCAATGAGAATATCTACATATATCTAAAGCCTCCTTTTACAAATCTGTATATATATACTTACGTATTTTTCCTTCCATGCGACTGATGCGCGCCTTCTGTTTGCCCATTTGTTCTGCGGAGGCATCATTCTTCACACGTTCCGCCTCCAGTCGTTCGGTTAGTGTTTTATTCAGCAACATTAGCTGGTTCTTCTCTACCTCCAAGGCATCCAATATGCTCACGAATTCTTCCTAGAAAGTGATAAATTATACACTTAGAAAGTTAATACATTTACGTATATAGCAAGAAATGTTTATAATTTGTTAAACAATTTTTAAAAGAATATAGTCATAATAATTCGATTCTTTATAATGCAAATTTAAAATGCTTCCAATTATATCTCAAGAAAACCAAGAAGTACATGTTTCTTATTAAAATCTTTTAAGGGAAAGATTTGAAAATCATTTAAAGAACAACAAAGTATTCTACAAATTGCATCTCAAGATCATAAAGATTGGATCTTTAAAAAAAGATACACATAAAATTGTTTGTAGAATTCAAATGGTATTCTCTCGTTAAACTTAAATTCTTAAGATTATATATAAAGAGAATCAAGAAGGATATATTCTTTAAACAAGCAGATTTCAATTCAATTCAACTCTAAAAATATCTGAAGAGCATCTAAATTGCATTTCCATGCTATTTACACTCACCTTGCGAAACTCGCGACAAGAGAAGAGAAAGCCGCCAGACACGGAACGCAAATCAGTCTCCAGTTTCTTAACCATTTCTTGCAAGGTATCCACAAAGACCTCCTTTTGCTTCAGACTGGTCTCTAGCTCCAGATTTATTCCGGCCAACTCTTCCATTTGCCGCCTAGCTGCATCGCGTTCTTCAATAACTCGCGCCAAATCGTTGCGCACATCATCCAAACGATTCTCGTACTGATGGCGCTGACGATTCAATTTCTCATTCATGGTACATATATTGATGCCATTATAATCGGTCTGTTCTTCGAGCTCAGAAGAGCGATGCTTATACTTGACCATTTCATCATTGAGAGTCTTATTGCGCACCTTGAGCGCCAATGTTTTATTGCGCTGCTCCTCCAGTTGGGCCTGCAAGGCTGCAATTTCCTTCTCCAATGCCTCCACCTTGGCCTTGTGCAGGATCTCGCTTTTGCGTACGCCGGGCGTGAAGCGATCAAACGTGGCCACATTTGCATCACCACCGCCCAGACTTGCGTTGGCGCAGCGTGGCGTTGTTTTCGTAGTAACCAGATCCATGTCGGCGCCCACTGGTATAGGCACAAAATCGGAGCGGTCGGAGAGGCGGTCCTCGTACGATTCCAGGCGTGCCTTTAACTCCTGAACTTTTTGCTGCAATGAGAGAATTTGTTGAGCACGGCCACGCCAGTTGGCCTGATTGAGATTGGCAGCCAGAGTGTTGATGTTGAAGCTCTCCCCAATCTCATGTTGCAGGCACTTCTGTGCGAGCTTCAGCTGATTCTGCAGCTCGAGGTTTTTGTTGCGCGACTCAAACAGCTTCTGCTGCATGTTTGAAATCTTCAACTGCAGATCATCGGCGGCATTGCCTTTCTTTATCAGCTCCGAATGCTGGTGGGTCTTTTCCTCGTTGCTCTTAAGCTCCTTTTCCAGCTTATTGATCTGTGCATCCTTTTTGTTCAAGCGACTCTTCATCTGCACCAGCTCGGCGCGCATCTGACGGTTCTTCTTGCTTAGCTCAACAATCTTGGTGCTGGCTATGGAGGAATTGCAGCGCAACTCATCAATGGGTACGGAATTCAACACATCGTTTAGGGAATCGACTGATCGCTTGAGCGCTGTAATCTCCATATTTTTTTCACTTATGGCCTTTGCAAGCGTCTCATTTTCTTGCTCGAACTCGTGCAGCTTCTTGCGTAACTTTTTGCCCTCCGGCTTCGGCTGTCTAGGCTTCCCAGCAGTGGTTCCTACGACGACGTGTCCATCCAATTCCTTGTCCTCTCGCTTGCGCCTAGCTGATTTCTCAGTCTTATGTTCATCCTGTAAGCATTCGCTGTGCAAAACATCCATGAGTTGGTAAAGTTGTAATTAAAAAATAAATATTATTAAGATGAACAATATCTTTTACAGGCGCGCAAAATGTACATGTATGTGTAAGTGTTTTTATTATTTAATTTGGAGGCTGTTGTACATATGCTCTAGCAATTTTTATTTGTTCTTCAAGCATTTAACGTTTAAAGCAATGTCTGTGTTCACATACTAGATATATGTATATAGTTTGTTTCTGCCGTTACAAATCAAAGTAGACATAATTTTATACTTTGGATTAGGCACGACGGTTAATTCCAACAAAAAAGAACCAGCTGATGGTACACAATTGAATTTTTAAACCAATGCATTTTCAATTAGGAGTGAATTAAAAAAGAACGGGTTTTTCCCTCAATGACCACAAAAATGAGTCAGTTATTTGTTCACAACTGAATCGTTGTGATTTGAACACAGTGGCAACCGGCATTTACAAGAAGGTGGCAATGCTATCGTCTTTCGATAGCACCGATATACTTCGATAGATTTCTTACATCCCTAGTGACGTGTAAAACATTCACGGCGCAACAATTTACACGAAACCAAAGCGAAATGGACGGTTTTATGATGGTAAATATACAAATTTCACAATATATTATTACTTAAATTAACTCAACTTACTCCCGTTATATGTGCATTCGCTACTTTGCTCAACATACGGCCACGCAGGACATAATCAAAGGAATGTGTATTATGGACAATGATGGCAACAGAATTCTAGCAAAATATTACGACAAAAACATATTGTCGACGCTCAAGGAGCAGAAGGCGTTCGAAAAGAATCTGTTCAACAAGACACACCGTTCCAACACCGAAATCATAATGCTCGACGGCCTGACGTGCGTCTATAAGAGCAACGTGGATCTGTTTTTCTACGTCATGGGCAGTGCATACGAAAATGAGTTAATTTTGCTCTCTGTGCTCAACTGCCTGTATGACTCGATTAGCCTAATTCTAAAGAAGAATGTGGAGAAGCGCTTGGTGTTAGAAAGTTTGGAAATCATAATGCTGGCCTTCGACGAGATCTGTGACGGCGGGTGAGTACCATATAGAATAACAACGGATACGAATATCATACATAAAACCACACTTTTTCTTTCTGCAGCATTATTTTGGATGCAGACCCATCGTCCGTGGTGAAACGTGTTGATCTGCGCAACGACGATATACCCATTGCCGAACAGACTGTAGCGCAGGTAACTAACACACTAAATGGCATATTTTGGTAGTTGCACATCTCTTCCAGTCTCTCTATACTCTAATATTGTTTGTTGGTTTCAACAAACAAAATAGAACATTGAACATATTAAGCGCGCTCGGCTCGAACAAATTATTTGTATACATTTAGTATGTTGTGTGTAGTTTAATGTATGTGTATCTACTTTTTAGTTTATCTATTTTGACATTAAGTGACTCATTTTAAATGTGTATTTGGCAAGAATACTTTTACGCTCGTTATGAAATAAATGTTATCACAGCGTTTTGCTCATTCTTCTTATGAGATGTTTATTTTCTTTTCCGTTTTTTCTGTTATCTGAGGTACGTTCATGCTATTGATGATGTTTGTTATCTCTTCTTACAGGTGCTGCAATCGGCGCGCGAGCAGCTCAAATGGTCCATTCTGAAATGAGGGTAGTGCCCAGACCCGTAAAACTGTTACCATATTGTCGCAATACATTCGATTTTCTATGATATATAATATACATACACACATATATTTAAATAGTAAGCGCCGTTGATTTTTTGCATTTGTATATATATAGAAGGTCACGTTATAAACCTAAACAGGCCCATACTAATGTTTTTCAATGTTTATTTCCACACACACAAAACCTTGACAATGTAAAGTTGAGTGGGTTATGGTTACGTGCTTGGCGTCAAGAACTATGTATGTTTAGACTTTACAGCGCTGGGGAAAAGCAAGGGTTCTTTATGATCCTAAAAGCCTGATATCAATAGATTAAATGCGTAGTCTGCGAACGAACCCTTCACAATTAGCATTATGTATTACCTAGTGCCCCAGTGCTATGCAGTTTGATTTTGTAACTTTTATAGAATCAGTCAATTAGCAAGTGACTGCAACTGCTTTTGCGTTGTACTTATATTAGCAGTATCAGGGCATTTGTGGCAATAAATCTTACCAGCCAAAAGCCTATCAGTACTGGTAGCGTCAATAGCCTCCGATTAACTGATCTTACATATGTATATGTACTTCTCCCAGGCACTTGAATGTGGCAAGAACTTTATGATGGGGGTTATTATAAAATAATTTTCATTAAACCGGGACAAGAACGTTAAAGACCAAGTACAAGTAATTGCGAAGTAAAAATAACTATTGAATTTAAGTGCTGGTACTCATTCAAATATCTTTATTGTATTCTAAAACTCTTTATGGCAAGTACTATTAAGGTGATCTTCAAACCTTGTTAGTAGGGGAACTACAAGAAATACTGAACTTGGCTTAAAGGCTCAAATAAATTTCATTTTAATAACGCTGATTAGAATTCGCAATCTGCTTAGAACCGTGAAACTCTTGAAATTGTCTTTAATTTGAAAGAAGATTAATAGAAACATAAGCCACCAATTTATTTTTCATCCTTATATCAATGTTTCGGTCAAATATTGATTTGAAACACATACACATGTAAAATAACATATAGGCGCAAAAAAATAGTCACAATACATAAATTTGTTGTATTTGTATGTATTATCAGTGGAAAAAAAGGTTTTCTTGGAAATTTGCTTTACTACTTTTTTGTATTTCTTTTTATACCCTACAGTTAAGTGAAAGGGTTCATTGGGTTGGGTTGGCATGATTGTTATCTATCAAGGTGAATTTATGCCTGAGACTTTGTGTATAGTAGAAGCTGTCGCCTCTGATCTAGTCAGACTATTTTGTTATATTATTTTCTGCAGTTAAAAGGTCAGAGCTTGTTTTGTTTTTATTTCCAAAAGCTTCCAATATAACAAGCTTCGTCATTAACTTCGGCATGTTTGCTTAAATTGTTTTAACATAACCGCTTAATAGGTACCAAAACAAGATCTTTAATGGGATATAACTTTGCCATTTGTCTATAGATTTTATTGCTATACAAGTATATTGACTTTAAAAGTCAATATTGTGCCTAAAAATTAGTTCAAAAACATTTATTTGTAATATAATCTGCTATGTATGTCTCTTAAACTGTGAACTATTTTTACAAAGCATGAAGCTTCTTCGGGATTTAAATTATTTGCTTGCCTGCCTATATCCTAAGTATTATCGAAATTATATTTTCGAGCTACATTTAGGGGTTAACATTAGAGGGTATTTTAATTTGATGCTTTTCTAAATGAAATTTATGCACTGAATACTGATATCATATTTCCCGAACAATATTTGTATTTTGTTGTTATTCAATTAATAGTCTTAATATTTAATACAAAATAGACCTAAACATCTTCATCATAAATCAGGAAAGGATTGCTGATATAGATTTGATTTTGCTTTTGTTGACAAACTCTTCCACACGACCCCGCAATGTGTTCAAAAAAATCCGCGACGAATGCGAGCACACATAAATATTTAAATAAATTACGAGAATGAACATTATTTACTTTGAAGTCATTAATTCGGTTATTCACCGCTTAAGTTTCATTTAAAATGCATTTGTTTGTACTGCATTTGGTTATTGCTTGTACTTATTGGATTTTGTTTTTTTTTTTTTTTTTAAGTTAATTAAATTCTATTAAATGCACGTACATGAACAATTGGAGGTATTAAAAACTCAAGTTTCGATTTAGTTAAATCTTAATCTATCTGAAATAGCCTTAATATATTGATGCTGAAATATAAATACTGGCACACTTTTAATTGAAAACCAAGGCGTATAATTTGTGGGAGATATGTACTTCATTTGAAAGTGCCATATTTGATTTGAATACCATTAGGAATGACATAGGTATCTACTTAGATAGCCAGGCAAATAATTTGTAATTGAACTTGTTAAAGAACACTGCAGTCTAGACATTTCATATGTAAATGCAATTACGCCCACGAAACGGGGGTAGTATTCCAATTATAATTGAAGCCTAATTATTTACATATAGTACATAGGTAAACCCAATCAATCGTGTGAATCTCGTGACTGAATCTGCTTTGGCTATCACTCAATGGGAACACGCCACAGATAGATGTTCGCCACTCATTAATCAAGGGCTGTCAGCGTGGCTGAACGCGCTATGTCCCGGACTACTAATGGCGTACGATTATCTAAAACTTTATTTTTGTCATATCAAACCAATAACATAGGCATTGACTCCACAGCCCATGTAGCTTTTATCTACCAGTTGCATGCTGTCTGACATGACTTTTGTGGCTTGCATCACGTTTTTATTTCTGTTTTTGTATATCTGCCATTACGATTATATCTTCTTGTGCAAATATATATACACACACATGTATGTGTGTATGTGTATGTATGTAACTGTGTAGAATTTGTGTGCCTAAGCTCTGACTGATATTTAGTGATCACTAAACTGCTATTGTTGTGGCGAGCCTCTGCCACTCATGGATGACCAAAGTTAAGTGCAGTTGCGACGTTGGGGTTTATTGAGAGCGCCGCCCATTTTGAACACTTAACACATACAAGTACATATACATATGTACATACGTACATACATATATGCAAAAGCTTTTCGCACGTAACTATTTGTGTTTGAGGTACGACTTAAAGTGTATTATTTTTTGATACACTTCAACATCGGGTATGCATTAGGAACGTTTGTGCAGTCCATACTCGCATTCAGTCATATGAATTGCTTTCTTGTTACGGTTAAGTCACAAATCCTTTCTAAGCTACCAAAGGAAACTTACATGTGAGGTTTATAGCTTCTTGAAGTCCTCTGCGATTCTTAGTATACATACTATCAACATACAATATTTTGTGTTATAAAAACTATTTCATAGAAGCCTTGAACTAACTTAAATGTCTTTGAATTCTTAAACCATCTAATCTCCCTTCATCTGCATTATAACGATAAAACAGGATTACACATTTCAAATTTATTACCTAGTAAGAAGATAACAAACTATATTGAAGATAATCTCCAATGATTTGCAATATATATATTATATATTGGTTCTAAATGCATTTTGGATTATTAACACTCTTCTACATAGTCTTCTTAGACAACTAATAGCAAACTTTTGCTTCTTAATCTTTCATCATTAGCAACATAGAACTCTACTTGGAGTAGTTTATCTTCACTGCTAAGGCCGACTTAACTTTCCTGTTCCTTGTAGACCAACAAGGAATTATGGTTCGTTTATCTTGACTATGTGCATTATATGAATTATTAATCAATAGACAACACGACAACCGTTTGAAAATATCTCAAGATGATGATAGATGATCATCTGTGAGGAGTTTGAAAAACTTCCTGGGGCACATTTAGAACCACTATGAAAGAATGCCCGAAGATGATTAAAACAGATTTATTTTTTCTTTATTCATTTCAATCGTTAGAAGGACTATACAAAATAAATTCAAAAAGGAATGTAACGCTTGAAGGGTATTAAGTTTTCGCGAAACCGAATCTAACACTTTCTTTAAATTCCATTTTGTTTTCTTGTTAATATCATGCACGACTTTATCAATTTGGCTGGCTGATTAAAAGTTGCTCGGCATGATTAGCGCCACTTGCGTCCAAGCCCCTCCAGAACTTCTTTCTCTTGACCAGAAGCGATTAAATCGCTTGCCCATTAATATTTATGACAATGTATACCCCGATTTTGATTTATATAACATAAACACATGTATTTCAGCCCAAAGAGATTGCCACCGTCTTTTTCGGTTGTTGCTCTTGGCTTCGGCAATACCAAATAATGTTCAGTTGTTGACGTTGCGTCAACGCCGTCTCATTTGAAACGTCTCGTGATTTGGCTGAAAGTTCATATTATTTTGTATTCACGCAGACTTGCAAATATTTTTAAGTTATACACTTTGTTGCATTAACATCGACATCTAACAAAACAAGTGAATAAGTATACTCGGAAATGAATGGCGATTCGCTTTTTCGGTGCGTTACTTCTTTGAAAGACAGCAAAAACACTTATGGCATTAATTCCTTGTATTGTTTGTTAAACCAAATAGTTAAAATTCCAAAGCAATTGAAATTCCAATCACATAATAGTCACCTGCCTCTCTATCTGCCTGAAATATAAAATTAAAAAAAAAAAAACAAACAAATAAATTAGTCAAATTATTGTGAAATGTGTAGCAACAACATTGAATTGCAAACGACAATGACACTTGTCTCATTAAGATAAGAATCGGATAGCCATTACTAAATTACTAGTCAGTCAGCTGGTCCTTAAATCAACAATTATTATCCACACGTGGCTACACGTGGCTTTCCTAATCGTGCTGCAAATTTTGCATTACGATCCCCCTCAATTTCTTTAAAGTGCGATAAAAACTAGAGCTGATTTATTTTTATGGTGCAAAGGAAAATTTTCTTTTCAAGAGATAATATTTCGTTCGTCGATTTTGAGGGCCTAGCCCACCCACAAATGTGTATCAGTGATTTGGATTTCAATCCAGACGCAATGTAAATAAACAAATAAAATAATTGAATTTTATGGCCAGTTGGCAGAGTAAACCTCTATACCTTGTTGTTGGTGTGTTAATGGGAATGGGAGGGAATTTTTTGTTCACGTGCTCCCATTCGGATCGACGGCATGTACGATAAGTTCAATCCCCGGGAGGCTATCATCTCTTTCTGTGCAAACTTTACTTCACTGCCTTACTAACAAAGTGCATTTCAAAAATTTAATAGGGCTATACAACTGATAATAATGACAATCTGGTAATCTATGAATCATTACAATACTTAATGGAGGTATCATAAGTTAAGGTTTATTTTTTTAGCATTCGCAGGCTTTACGCAAAAGTAGATTGCTGTTTTCGTAGGACCCATAAAGTTTTATCAGAAACCCTACCGAGAGTTGAAGAAATTTTGATATTAAGAGTGTTTCGGATTTGATCAGAATGAAAGCGGGCAATAATCACAACAACGAATAATAGATGACTGTATTTAACTTCAGTTGACTATGAAATTTTCCGTCATTCTTCCGTGTTATTACTTAGGCAGCCATTCATGATAAAGCCAATTGATAGTTGCGAAAAAAATTTATGTATAATGTGTTTATTGACTTATGTACATATGTATGTATGCACATACCCGTATATACATATGTACTATATGTATCATATAAAACAAAATGAAAAAAGAACGGCCTTTATTTCGACTAATCGGCTTAAATTTAACTGAATTAGACTTCACAAAACAGGCAATTAGTCCAATTAAAAGTTATAGACCCAAATCGTATAAAATAATAATTTTTCTGCTAATCAAGCATTTTCTAAGCGATAATTTAAGCTACTGAGCCAAAATAGAGATTTCAAAGTCCTTAATACCATTTAAGTTAATTCCTTGATCTTCCTTTGCACATGTCAGCTTTCTAACAGTTGCTTAATAACAGCATCATTCACAATAGCAGTTGCAGTCACAATTTCAACCTCAATGTGTGGTTAACATTCGCAGTCTCACTAACAGAGGAAAATAACAGTTAAATTAACAGATGGAACAGGATCCATTGAAATTAACATATAAGACGAGAATCAATAATATTTATATGAAAACAATTATCAGTCACAGCTAAATTTATCGCACAAGAAATAAAATTATTTAATTCATACACTTAGCTGAGATTCTACATTTTGAGGACTCTAGAATGTAACAAGTTTTAAAATATTTTAAAGCCAAAACGATTCGTGAATCTTTTTGTTTCACCCTCGCGGTTGACAAGACTACGACGCCGCTTTCTACACGAAAGTTCAATGAGTCTTCGTTTTCTCAAGAACATAAACAAAAAGTTGAGCAGTGAAGTGGGGGGTAAGAGTGGGAATGGGAATTGCCGGTGACATTGCGCAGCATAACATAATTGTACATATATTGTCAGTGCCATCATGATTATGATTTTGTCGAGCTCTTGAACGTTCGTGAACCTACGCTGCTTGACAACCAACACAAACATATCCATTTATTAAAATGATTGTGATAAAGGGCCCCTCACAATAAATATTACGCATACGACACGTTGTCTGTAGTTGCTAAGTGCATTCGATCAGAGATTTATAAACGATGCCAAAGCTAGTGGTGCAACCTAAAATTGTGGTAACCAAGGCGCCTCGCTCTGTGTGTCATTCGAGGCGCTCGGTTACAACGATCGTATGTAGAACGAATGGTAAATAATTGTTTCCGTTCTTGTTTTTATTGTGATAAGAGCTCGGTTGGTAATATGGTAAAGTCAGGTATTTTAATTACATGTTTTTTGAAGTGTTTAGATTTTGTTTTGTATATGGCCGGGCACTTATTATTGTGACATTATTTGTTTACCTTCTCTACTATATGGCCGATGATATATAATAGAAGTACAGTGTAAAATAAAGGGCTGTCTATCAGCAGCTGCTCGTTCTGTTCTTTTTCATTGAGTAGCTCTTAATGTCCATTTGATAACTGGATAATGCACATTTAACTGCACAGAAATATAACGTTAATGTCGTTAATGTAGTCGTCTCCCTCTTCGCCATATTCATTGAAATAAAATATACTAAAATATAATAGTTGCTATGGCAGCAAAATGTTGTAATGCACCGAATTATATGATACTACGGGATAGCGTTAGTTATTAGTATACAAATTCGGTTGATTTATAAAGTAATATTTAAACAAAAAGATTATTCTATTGAATGTGATTTTTCCGCAGATTCCAGCACTTCAACAAACAAAAATTCCTAATAGTTATTGAAACTCTTAGTTTTGTTTTTATTTAATATAATAACAATTGAAAATATTATGGAAAAAAATCGCAATATTAAAATCATGATGGGCAATTTTTTAAAATAAAATCGATAACGCCTATTTGTTTAACTATTATCCATGCCACGCTTTGAAATAAAGAAAAAAAGTTTATTTTAAGTGGATTCGGAAATTGCACGTTTGGTTTTTAAATGATCGCTATTTTCTGATAGCTCTGAAACGCATTTATTTTAATGATAATTCATTTAATATTAATAATACAAAAGCAAAATGCTGAACTGCTTAAAACAAATGCTTTCTTGTTATCTTAACGGAAAATGGCATTACGAATTAAGTATATTTATATGTATTATGTCAAGGTATAATGATTAATGGCCTCCAAACTTATCTAACAAAATTGATAGATGAATATATACTTAAATAATAAAAATATATATAGAAAAAAAAAAATTGAGTGAAATACCAGAGAATAAACTGTAGGTACCATATTGATTTTGATATCCCAGAAGAGAAACTTTAAATCAGCAAAAAAGCTCTCAAATAATAATAAATATATCGAATAATTTCGATATTCTATTCACATAAAGAACAGTTTTGTGCCAAACATTTTGTTAGCTTTCTTCTTGAATGCAATTCTTCTGTTTGCGTTGGCAATTTATTGTCCAAGTGTTTAGTCTACAATATCCCTTAACCGTTCGGGCATAAAGCCAGAAATAAATTACAAGTACAGCTGTAATGTTCGCAGCTACCAGATCGAGTTGAAGTGCACCGGAGCCGCCAAGTTATGCTAAGTACTTGACAATGACAGGCGGAAATGTCACTGTCAGTCAGCAACATACATATACGAAGTGAGTCGAGCCTCTCGTGGAGTGTTTTCTTGAATATTTAGGTCTAGTATTATGTACTCTATGTTTGTATGCATATGTCAAAATTTGCAGCTACTCGCTGTTTATGACACGAATTGCGAATTTTGAACAACAAACACAAAAAGCAAGTAAGCCCAACCAAATCAGCCAGATTGTACAATAACTGATTTTTTTTTGGATTCCAGCTCCCTCTTGCTGTGTTGGCAGATAAGCTTTAACTACTCTCTCCCTCTCTCCCTCTCTCTCTCTCTTTCTCTGTGTGTATGATAAACCTAGGCATTTAGGCTCTCTCCGATTCGATTCGCTGCAGCTGGTATTCTCTGACCAGCTGGATGTACCGAGAGGGTTCAGATAGCACTTCCATAGCTCTATTTATTTACCTATGTATTGTAATCTTATCGCCGATTTTGAACATTCTTACTTTGTACACCCGTGTACAAGCAATTAACAAACGATTCGAGCCCGTGGCTTGTCAGCCAGTTAGCTGTTCAGTCGATTCGATTGGATGCCGTGCGGCCCAGCGCCCAAGTAGCTGACTGATACTATATATGTATACTATATGTATATATGTATACTCGTACTATTTAAGAAAACGGCTCGTTCGTTCGTGCTTTCAGTTTACTGAGACCATAAATCGACGTTAGACGTGCTCGTCGCACCACAAATAAAAAGCGCGCAGTGTACAAAAAGTGAACATAAAACTCAACCATTGACTCACACACATCAAAATATTATTGATGAGCTCAAGTGTTATCTAAACATAAGAAAATTGAAGCTTAACTGCACAATCAATCACTGCTCTAGACTAAGGAATTCAAACAATTCAAAACATTTTGCAAAACCTGAGAAAATATAGTGTATAGTGCTAGAAGTACAGAATTCAAAATCACAAAAAAGTGATTACAAAATAGATCGAATCGCCCAAAAAATGAAGCTAAGGTGAGAAACATTTTTTAAAAATCACTTTTAAATAAAAAGATGACATACGAATGCTACAAATTTTGTAAATATTTTACGATCTAAAAGTAAACTTCATCTCTCTATATAAGTAATCAACCAATTGAACTTTGAAACAATTGAAGGAAAAACTTAAGAAATTAACTTCATCTCTTCATATGAGTAATCAACCAATTGAACTTTGAAATAATTGGGGGAAAAAAACGTTAAAAATTTAAATGTCATTATTAAAAGTGCCTCTAGTTGTTGGCAGACATATTTATCAAGATATTGTTTGAATTGTTCCAAAAGTCATTTCAAATTATTTGCCATAAAGATAAATTTCGAATTTATCAGCGACCAAATGTGCAATTTTTTCTTGTTAGTACATACAGGAGTATATTGCAAAGAGATTCCCCCTATGGGGCACTCTTTTATCTTTAATTAATTTCGGAGAATTTTCATGTCTATAAAATATTATATAAAGCAACATATTCAATTGATTTCTACACTCTTTGAAAGATTATTATGTACAGTTGATAGAAAATCACCCTAATAGATCCCTTATATGATGTGCTAGACGAGACTAATCGGTGTCATAAGATTCAGTTGGAATCTTTTCAGTTGATATAGCTTTATTTTATTTTATTATTGGAGTCTGCAAGTAGAACCTATTTACTAAAATTCTCCATTTAAAAATACAAATTTGAAGTGAACATAACCGTTTTGGCGAAACTTTCGCGATAGCTTTTCAACGACTTAGAACAGGCGTTATAAGTAATCTATAATCTAGGGAACTTAGACGTTTTTTTTTCGTTGATAGTAAGTATAGTGGTTCAAACTATTATATGATATAGCTATGAAAGAAAAAACCCATCCCGCCATGAAAATGACATTCATTGCTTCTTGAGATAAGATTTCCTGCCATTCCCACTATACATTTTTGCGATATATTCAAATACTAAGGTCCTGATCCATCAGTTTTTATCAGTTTCTAGATCAATTCCGAATGCCAACGAAACTTCTCGTGTAACGTGTAATGGCTGAACAAAATTATAAATAGCATTTTATAGGAATTTCATTACAGATTAGGGAATCTAGTAGCACCTTTCCGTGTAATACTCATAGTTTCCGACAATGAAAACAGTTGCTAGGCATGTGTGGCAATAACAGAGGTCAATAGCTCTGTGAAGAGCCATAAAAGCGACCATATGACTGCAGAGGCCCATAATATTCGTACAATGCCAGTTAAAATCAAATAATCAATTACAGCTGTAAACATAAAGATAGCGCTAATATACGAATAGTATGTCAGCAGGCCGAGGCCTGGGGGTGCATTTTATGAATCTTGGGAATGTGGAATGTGGAAAATATGGGTAAACATAACTAGACGATATGACCGATAAACTGACTCGAATAGCATTTCCTTGAAATCCCAATTGCTTGGACAGGTTATGGTTCAATTGAAGACGCGCCCACTGCGATTCTCCGTATCAATGGAAAGTAATTTCGTTTCATTTATCAACAGCCCTAATATCATACTATGGGTTTCTGTTTAGCAGAAAAAACCATTTCATCATCATTTAGCGAGCGAGCAAAATGGTAAAGGAAATAAAATCGAAATGAGCGCCGCCAATTAACGACGCCAGTCGTTATTGATAAGTTCGGGGTGGCTCAAGTATTGAGGAATGGCAAGAGGGCCAACAATTGGCATATAAACTAAAACAACAATAGCAAGTTGCCTTCATTTTGGCAATCAGCGATTAAAATTTGGGCAATAAAAAAGTTTGGAGGCGCTAACTTGCATGAATGATTTCGAAAAATGATAAAACAAATCGCATGTACCATAGTATTTATATTTGCACATGTATTATTCAGAAACATATATACACATACATATGTAGTATGTACCGTGTAAGTGCAAAGTGCAGCTCTGTTTACTTAACTTCTTAAGTGCCTTCTGATAAAACCCTCGGTGTGTCGAACACAGCCAATTACTGCTCCAGATATTAAAAGGTGTAATTTATCGGTGGAACCAAAGTCGAATCAATAGGCACGAGTATAGTACTATATAGTATAGCCAATTAACGGTTAACACGCCAATGCCAAGAAAACGGTGACAACTAAACAAGAACCAATAGTGTTTGCCCAAAAAGACAAAACCCTAATTAATATTTGTGCCTGGAAAATTGCCAATTCATGTTAGACAAGCAGGAATGTAACAGTGGGGCATGCCAGACTAGAAGATACCCTGCACCCCAATTAGAATGTGAAATATATAAGATTTTACATAGACTTTCAAATGATGAAGGGGAATTATAATACGAAGAAACAATAATACTTTTTTGCCCGAAGAAAGACTTTTTAATATCTGTCAAAACCAGCTATCTTTGTAACGTCTTTATTGTATCGGATAATATTTAAATCAATGGTTTTAAGTTTTTCCCACTAAGCTTCTTCTTCGAAAGTTTTCCTTCGATTTTAATAAAGATAAGTAATGAAATAAATTTGATATGTGAGCAGACTAGGTGGAGCCTCATAATCAATTTAAGGCTTACCTTTGCAGATAAAGAGAATTCGAAACTCATACCCATAAACTTTAGAAAGGATTTCTTGCTGATCTGTAACTATACTAGAAGAGTACACATAATAAATTTTCGGGCTCCAGCTATTCAAAATGAGGAGATTTCAAAGCTCATACCAACAGACGTTTGAATGTATGAACATCGAAAGGGGGTTTTGGGTTTCATTATTCTCTATAGCTGGAGCGCACTTCAAATACTCTACTCTAGACGAAAGTAGCTACCGCTTTCGACTCAATTGGGATTGCGGCGCGTCGCGTTTTATCTATTACGCATACCCGGGAGTGGGGCGGGGGAGAGGGAGCGGGCGTATTGTCTTAATTAAATATGCACACATCAAGCCAATATAAATATATGCCGATCTATGACTATGAATGTGCGTTGGTTTTTAATTTAAAAGGCATAACAGTGCAAACATTTGCATTTACTTTGCCTATTTATAGGCCTGGACGCTCTTGACTTTTTCCTTAGAAGTCGTGCCTAAACAAATTTACCATCTTATCGCCATTCTTAATCCCCAAAACAATCCACAATTACAGACTCTTGCGCTGTTTGCGCCAATCGAAGCACCATCAGGCGAAAGACGAGTCTCAGACTCAATCAGCGAACCACAATATGGAGCGTCAACTGAAAGGATTGCAGGCCCACTTCAAGGAGACGGTCAAGATTCTGCTCCTCGGCACAGCTGAATCCGGCAAGACGACTATCATCAAGCAGATGCGCATATTGCACATCAATGGCTTTACTGACGAGTAAGTTGAGGAAATATTGATTGATTGCTGAAATGGGCAGCTAACTTATTTGGATTCTGCTCTGCGCCTTTCAGTGAACGTCGCGAGAAAATACCAGAGATATATCAGAATATACACGACTCCATCATCCAGCTGGTGAGACAAATGAGCATTCTGGGTCTACGATTCGGGAGCTGTACCAGCGAGAAGAGTGCTGCCTATATCCTCTCTCTAGAGAGCGAAGCGCCCGAGTATATGAATGAGGTGAGTGAGTGTTCATGATATGAATGGGTGGGTTGTTGGCCAACTGCTGAGTTTCTATCTGAGTTATTTATCTTATCCAAAAACAGAACAAAAACAAAAACAATAAACTGTAAACTGAAAATCCAAGTACGTTGCCATTCAAGTGGCAGTTGTAGTCTAGTATGCCATTAAATAGTCAAAGGCGCTTATCAAATGACTTTGACATGCTTGAGATTTGCGTCAGCACGTCAGACACGTTTCCACAAACGAAACGGAAGGGCGGGAGATACGGGATGACGAATTATGTATGAAGATTCCAACTGACCAACATTTCTTTCTTCGACTCTGTATAGACAAAAAAAAAAAAAGAAAAGATTTGTCAACTGTTATCTATCTGGCAGCGATTTTATTGGTGTTAATCTCTAATCAGGTATTATAACTCTATCAGAGTGTGTCTGTGTTTGGAAACTTTCCAACAAGAGTGTTTTTATTTATTTTTGTGTGTGTGTTTATTTTGTCGCAAACCGACACTTCCTGGGAGGCATGCGGTGCAGTATTTGTAGAACTTCAGGGGCGGCCTTTGCTCCACGTACGGCGCACGCTCCGCCGCTGATTCATCATCTGCCTGTTTATATTCCCATCATGCCCACGCGATAAGATAAATTTTGTGGCAGTCGCAGTTTGGGAATCTCTATAATGCCTATTATGAGTAATAAAACGCACAAAGAATATATGACCTGCCTCTCAAAGCTTTACATACATTTAAATAATATCGAACTCTCTCTCCCTATCTTTGCAGGAATACTGCGATCATGTCATGACATTGTGGAATGATGTGGGCATACGCGCTTGCTACGATCGCTCCAATGAGTTCCCACTGCTGGATAGTGCCAAATAGTAAGTAACACGATCACTGACTAATCCTTTGAATATCATTACTTACAATCGATCGCACTCTCTTTTTAATATTCTTCAGTTTTCTCGACAATTTTGCACGCATTTGCGATGTCGCCTACATACCCAGTACGGAGGATATCCTGCATAGTCGGAAGATTACGACAGGCATCTCACAAATATCCTTCCGCGTACAAATCCCAAAGAGCTTGGGCGGCGGCGAGCAGGAGTTTCGCATGTATGACGTAGGCGGTCAGCGGGATCAGCGGAATAAGTGGATTCAGGTGTTTGAAGGCATACAGGCCGTCCTCTTTCTGATCTCATGCAGCGAATTCGATCAGAATTTGCGTGAGGACTCCACACAAAATCGTCTGCAGGAGGCTCTCAAGCTGTTTCGTGCCGTCTGGCAAAATCGTTTCCTCTCCTCCGCTGGTCTTATTGTCTTCCTCAACAAGTACGACATTATGGAACGCAAGATACGCGCCGGCAAGCATATTGTCGACTACTTTCCCGAGTTCGAGGATTTCTGCAAGCGACCGCAGCAGGACAATTGCTTCGATGAGTGCGATTGGACGAAGATGTTTATCAAGCAAAAGCTAATCGATATTACACAGGAACCTTTTAAACGCACCTCGCGCCACCGCCATGTCGACTATACGCAGAGGGAGTGCTACTATCACTTCACCGTAGCCACAGATACGCGCTGCATTCGCGACGTTTTCAGTGATGTCCAACAGATGATCCTGACGGATAATTTAGCCGCCAGTTCTCTGCTGTGAGACGCTTATATTGTGTTTGGCCCTCCCGCCCCTCACAAATGATTTTCCTTTAAAAGCTGTGATCTAATTGCTAGGCTATATTTTGAGTTGTTAAGTTGTTTGAGCGAAAATAATTTAAGAGTTTAGAGTATAGAGCTATTCTTAGAATTATGTATAACCATCGTAGTTGCTATGAATAAATATAAGACAAAACTATCGACAAATGATTGCGGAATTTTTGTTGTTTATATTATTATTTTACAATTATTAGCTGATTTTGAAAATCAGCTTTGTTTTATTGCCTCAATTAAAATTTAATAATTAAGGCGGTTCATCATTTATATGCTTATTATTTTTGATTATTTTAAATATGTAACAGAACTTCAGATTTGATATTTGCCTTAAACTTCAAATTCAGTGGTGCCAATTCAATGTTGGTTTTGAATTTTTCAGTGTTGAGCAATTCGAGAAATTATCGATTTACTTGAATAGTATATTGTCGATAGCGATGGCGCTACCTTTTTACACTTATACTTTCGATAGAAAATCTATCGATAGCATGCCACCCCTAGTTGTGTCATATATATGGCTCACCGTTGCCACTGACTGTCACTGATACGCCGGCTGCTAAAGAGAGAGCAATTTGAAGAGAAGCGCGTGCGTTGTTCGTTGTCAATAAGAAAGTATTTGGCAGCATAATCACATTGCGAAAAAAGTAAATATGAGTTAAAAGTGTAGATATAAGATTAAACAACAATTGCACATCGTTTGTCTAAACAATTAATGAGTGTTCGTGCGTGTGCTGCTGTGTGATTATTACATATCGCTGTATGCGTGAAACTGCTAGTGTGGTGGCTGGTGGAGGCGCGGCCCCCAGCATAAAAACATGGCCTGCCCAGCCAATTTTTACTTTGCTGATTTTCCGTGTATTTCATATGTATTTTTTTTTGTATCGCTTTTGTGTACTTTATCGATTACGTTTACGTCGGCAAAAGCAGCAGCAGCATTAAATGAGATAGCGAAAGAGTGGGAAAGAATGAGAGATTGAAAGCAAGAAGACGAGAAGAGCGCGCCATCAGCTGCATTAAAAAAAAACATTAAAAATCATAAATACAATGCGCTAAATTCAGCGTCAAAATTTAAAATGAAGTGAATAAGAAATAGAAATTTTGAAAGCGCACGCTGCTGTGACGCTTGCTAAAATGTGCATGGCATTGTTGCTCGAACGTATAAAATATTAAAAAAAAAACCGGATATGTTAACTAAAAAGCTGGCTGGCTGCCGCAAGTGGAGCTTACACACAAAAACAACAACAAAATGAAATGAAATTGCTGCTGCGCGCTCGTGTGTGAGTGGAGAGTGAATGTGAATGAGTATATGGGTGTTGGATCGCGCGAAGGTGGAGTGGAAATGGCGGTCATACCCAACACACGAAAAAAGCAACAATAACAAAAATCAGCGCCGCCAATTTCACGTAGCAAAAGTGTCGCGTGTCTGGCATGCAATTAGGCATTCAAATAATTTCTTGTTGCCATGTTTGTGGTCACCACCACGACCACCCCTGGCCAACTAGCCGCTGGACTGTTGTTGTTGCTGCTGTTCTTATGTGCGTGTGTGTAGACATTTTAAGTGCGTGTGCGCGTTTTTTATACCCTTTACGCGAAGGGCAAAAGGGTATTATGAAATCGTTCAGTTCTTGCAACAGCTAAAAGTAGGCATGGCAGACCACAAAGTACCTGTATGTACATACATAAATAAATAAATATTTCTCTGCAAGGCGATGCGTTCCAGACATGTGCATCCGCCTGTATTAGCGCGAGGATCTGCGAAAGTATAAAAGCTAGAGCACTATAATTCTTGGCATAATAATACAAAAATTTAAATCATTTTCTTAAAAAATGTATTGCCTTATATTACAACCCTGAAGAAAGCCTTAGCCAAAAATTTAAATTATTTAAAAAAATAAATAAATAAATTAAAATAAAATAAAAAAATAAATCATTTTTAAAAATTGCTTTCTGGGCCGTATACAGTGTATTTAGAAGTCAGATGCGTGCGTTTCTAGCATCTGAAACGTTTTCCTTGGTGCTGTAATTTTTTCGCATTTTACTTTGTTTTATTTTTTGACCTCCTCTTCAGCGAGGCGCACGAGACTTGCCCCCTGACAACAACAACAACAACGGACAGCGGAATTGACGTATTGAGCGCATGAATGAATGAAAGACTGACGCATGCTTGTCTCTGTAACTATTTTTGTAGTTGGTGTTTAGAGCACGCGCTTTTCCATTAGACGCTAGGGGGATGAGAGGGTGGCGATTTTTTGTCGCCACACACATACATACATACAGGGTGCGCCATCTTTTATGTCGGTGTGTAAACATTGAATATCTTTGAAAATAAACAGCCGATTTTCAAGTATGAGATATTTTTATTTAATTTGGTTCTGTGCAATTTCTTGAACTGAGGTTTTGAACACTTGTCTACTCAAGTCAATCGGTCCACTAATGACAAAGTTATTCAATGTTTACATACCGACATAAAAGATGGCGCACCCTGTACATATCTACAAGCATCTCGAAAAATACCCCTCATTGTGTATTCGTGTATCTAAAATAGTTACAAATGGTTGTTAGCAGCAAGAGAGCGGCCATGAGGTACGCAATGCAGTCCGTCGCGAGGCTGGTGTGCAAAGCGGAAGTAAAACTCGCGCGCCATTCATAAAATACAGTGTTGCACATGTGTGGATGAGTGCGTCGAATGAATGTGTCTGCAAGTGTATGTGTTTTTGGCAAAATCAATGACCAAAGAGAGAGGACGAGAGAGTGTAGCGCTGCTGGAGGTCGCGAAGCCGTTTAAGACAGAAACTAAATTTCCAATTAAACCATAAATATTATTATTTTGATAAAAAAAAAAAACTTAGTTCCATATTTTAAAAGCGATCGCATTTGTGTTACTTTATTTGTTGTATCTAAAAATAAGAAATTAATTTTGGCGGTAAACTAAAGAAGTTATTTAAATATGGAGTTTGAGCAATTCAATTTAATTTACGCATTTTGATTTTGAAAGCTCCAGATCGATACTTCTACAAATACTCTTTAATACAGTCATAAAGACATAATGGGTATAATTTATAATCAGACTGATTTTTTGTCATTACATGAAAAATGTATTATTCTCCGCAAAATATTGTTCGTCTGCATAAACGTCGATGTCTTTAGAACCAGATGCGCTTGACACATCAAATCTATCATATGTACCCCTTTTGCCTATATGCAGATAATGCTTATTATATATACCTCAAAATATCGAAACTCTTTCTGTAATTCTACAAAAAACTTTAACAAATTTGGTGAAAAAATAAACAGTAGAGGAAAATGATAAGCTTAGATCATAATTTAATATCAAAGTTCATATAACAGACTGGAATAATTCATGATATACGTTATATTTGTGAGTGATTGTGTTTTGCATAAGTAATGTAAAATGATGAGTTGTGTGCAATATAAATAAAGACAATACCCGGATTTAAAAGTCTTACAACTATTCTAACTGAAGATACAAATATGTGCTTTTTTGCCTTTCTCGAATAAACAGCTAACAACAACACGCACCCTGACCTCTCACAGCCGCCAAATTTGTTGAGACGAGAGATCCCCCTTACCACCCTGCAACACTGATACACACACAACACACACACACACCTCGGCACAGACACACATACTCACACACAGAGGGAGGCACTTGAGAAGAGTGGGGCAGGCAACAAAATGATCAACATGGACATCAGCGTAACGCCCAACTATTCGTACATTTTCGACTTTGAGAATGACTTCATACACCAGCGCACACGCAAATGGATGGTCGAGAATTGGACCTGGGTGTTCTACTATTGTGGCATCTACATGCTGGTTATATTCGGCGGTCAGCACTTTATGCAAAATCGGCCGAGGTGAGTGTCTATAAACATTTATACATTTGTTGCCAATACCAGTGTATTCGTGCACTTTGTCGCGTGTATGTATGTTGTGCAACAGTAAACACATGTTAATGTTAACTGCAAATTGAAACGTGAAATTTGCATGCTTGCACAATTCATCAGTAAAGTTTAAAAGTCACTTTCTATTTTGTATACATGGTATATAATTTTCTGTATAATTTCGGGGCTGACATTGACAAAGTCTCTGTATGTCTGTTACTGTCAGTATGTGTGTCTTGCCCGTTGTAATGCTCGGCACATTTATTCAAAGAGACGTTTGTCTAAAAACCTTGAACCCTATGCATATGCAGATGTATATACATATGTATCTCTTCGTACCACCAGCTCGTCCCTCTCTGACGACCAGAGTGACTTATGAGTGGCTCTGTAGCTGTCGTTGTTGTTGTTCTATACGGCAGCTTGGCACATTGGCCACTGATTATTTAACTTTCACTTTGCGAATTCACTTGGCTCTCCGTTCACTGCTCTTTTGGCTAATTCGTGGCACGAGCCGCTTTCTTAAGCAGAGAAGATGGCTATATATTTATTTTGGTGTGCCGAAAAGCTGACTTTTGCCCAAAATTTGTCTTAAATCTTCCATAGACTGAAAGATATTTATACCTTGTATCCAAAGAACACAAAATTTATTTTTAATCAGTATGAAAAGACAAGCTGATGTAGCTAATTCCTACAAGCTAGAATAATAGTCCCAGAAAGAAGTTGGTGTTTTTTCCTGATTTCCTCATTTTAAATTCGAATTTAAATAAATATAATCATATACATATATTCAGGGGATCCTAAAGTATTTTCATACCCTGCAGCCGATGGGTATATTAGCTTTTCACAAAGTATGTAACAGAGATAAGAGGAACCATATCGGACCCATAAAGCAAATACGTGTACTTGTAAATTTTTAATTAGCAAGACGAGGCTACTGAATTTCGTCAATACTGTCTACAATTCCAAAACTTCATAAATAAAACTTTCTGATATACGTGTATAACTTAAAAACTTGATTTCTTGACATTTAAATGCAACTTATAACATTTCGTCGTTTTGACTCTATATGTTTTTAAGTTCTTGCCACTAATATAGTCTATGTATATAGGTCTCTTTAAACTTTCGAGGTTTTACTAATTTCAAACTTTGCTCACGTAGCTATCTTTGTCGCTAATTAAATTGACAAAAGTGTGTTTTTTCAATGTGCGGCCACCCACGCATCTAATTTGACTTTCATAACCAACGCGTCTGGAGTGTAAGGTACAGCCCGCTTTTTTTCTACAGATTGAGCAAAGCCCGCTGACATCATTATAATACAATGACGACATTCACACCAAAAGCAGCGGCGAGTGGCCTTACTTATGTACTAGCTTTTTACTTTTTTTTTTACTGTTAATACAAATAAAACGCCCCCGCAGTTGTTTGTTGTAATTAATGTTTACTTGCGTAATTATAGTTACGAGGCGTTCAGACCGCTCTACCCCAACTAAATCCTTCTTCTGCTCACGGCTAAGTCTGCATTTAAATGCACCTGAATTACCAATTTCCCGGCAAGTCTGTTTGGCAATTACACGAAATTCGCTGGCTCATTTGGGCCAATCAAGCCCGCCCTTTAGCCACAATGGAAGTGGATGCCACTTGTGGCTCCCCATTCCCATTTTGCAATTTCCCATTCCATTTGTATCTTTATATTTTGTTGTTGCGTGGGCCAATTGCGCTGAAATTGTTGCAATTTTGTTGATTACAACAACTGTCTGACAATTTGATTATCTATTCAGGCTGCCTTTTAGCCAAACGTTTTTCTAATTACGCTCATCATCTAAAACGTCAGCCACTTCATCATCGTCTTCAAATTGTTTCGGCGTAGGCTTCTGTCTCACCATATGTGGTGTTTTCTAAAAAAAAACACAAATACAAACGCACATAATATTAGACTTAAATATGTGGTATGTATAGTATGTGTGTGTTTGTTTCTGGAATCGAACAGGTGCGTCAGCGTGCTTTTAATTGATAGTATTCAGAGCCATTGGGGAGCGGAGTAAAAAAAAAACATTAAAAAGCATACGGAAAGTCCATTTATTATTTAAAAATAATCATGGAGTATGATTGATTTGTGACTCAAGTATACTTTTTAGTAAACACCCCAAATTTCTATCCATTTTGTATGCAAACTGGGAACTATAGAAAGCTATAGAAATATAGCGTCATCTAACTATGAGAACTACATGTGAATGAAAGAACATTTAACCACATTTTTAGTAACTTTTTTATATCTATCTTTAATTTATATTTACTGGGATAAAAAAAAAAGTACAGTTTTGGGTAATTGAAAAAATCAAAAAATCGTTCATCACTTTCTGGTGAAAATATTAAATTGTTTGAATTTTGTGCCTTTCGGAAACCATTTCTACCTGGATAACTATGATGCTATTCATAGAATAGTGTAATTATAATATTCTCAATAGCTATAGTATTTGTACTAGTAATGGTTAATTTAATTTGTATGCCCAAACTGTTTAATTGTCTAATATATGTGCATAGTGCTGATGGGGTGTTAGAGTTTCCACAAAAGCCATACATACCTTTTTATCAAATTATACTTTTTCTTTGTCTATATCGCCAGGAAAAAATTCTTGTTCGATTTAGTTTAAATGCCGGAAAAAACATTCCAATACTGATAATAGAAATATATAAAAAGCACATGCAATTTATTGGTGCACATAGATATTAATTGATAAAGTGGCAACACAAACAATTTAATCTATTAGTGAGTTATTAAATGTTAGGAAACGAAATTTCATCGAAGCTTCAAACTTAAACATAAACAATCACATTATTGTTTTTTATTCCCTGAAATTCCAATATTTTCCACCTAAACCTATGAAGTGGTCGAATAGACCTATTCAGAACAAACATGTGTGGATGATTTTATTTTTTCTAGTGCTCGCTTATCAATATATTTGATTAGGTTTTTTTTCTAGCCACCCGATAGTTGTTTGAAATAAGTATAGGCGCATTCATTTTTTCATAACTTGAGACGCAAGTTTTATGGCGTCTTCAATTTTCCATGCAATTTGTTTACATTTCTACTCTTGTACATACATACTCGTACATATGTATGTATATCTTCGAAGTGGCTTTGAACGGGCCCTAGCTGATTATTCAAAGTCTCCGAATTATGAGTAGATATCACTCATTGGGCATGTACTGTCCGGCTCAGATCCGCGTGATTGTGTGTCTCTCCTCTATAATTCGAGAATACTCGTAAATATAATGCGGTATTTTGTCTTTGAGCTTAAACGTTGCTTAAATATTTACGCAAGCGCTGCCGCTAAGAGGGGGAGAGGCGATAGATAGACAGATACTCGAAAACTGAGAGCTGAAAACTGAGACTTCAGATACTTATATGCCTATACCTACATTTGTACATACATAGGTGTGAATTATGAATAAGGCGCAACAAATTTTTTAAGGGCTGGGCGGAGACGCACGCGCTGCCATTATTCTAGAAGAGAGATTGCGATGACCGGGGGGGGAGGGGCTTTGAACACTTTTGTTGACCCCCCTGTCTGTCACATGTTAATGCAAAAACAAATCAATTAAGAATCTCACATTTATCTTTCTGTTTAAATTTATCACTTCGTTACGCTTGACCTTTGCCCGAACCAAACCCTGTCAACAGGGTTGCCACGTGTGCAAAAAAGTAAAGCTGGTACAGAAACAGAGCCGTTTCAGCTGTGATTTTTATTTCCCAACCGATTTGGTTTTTGATAAAACTTTATCAAGCTATCCCGGCATGTATTACATACATAGTAAAGCTGAGCGCGTGACAAAAACAGAACGCCTTCATGATCACGGACATTCACGAGATCGATAATTTGATTCCAAATTCAAGTACAAAGTAGCGGTGTAATAATAAATTCAACATGCAAAATTTTTGCATGATTGTTAAAATCCACGTTTAATTTATCGGTGTAAAATTACTCTTAGTGCTATAAGTTTATTGTTTATGAAGATATGCTAAAACAATTTTTTCTCCTGAGTTTTGTATAGTGCGTATGTATATTCTAAAGCTTCCATGAATCCGCTCACTTTATCATATAGTTGCCAAATCAACCAAAAAAAAAAACATTTATTTTCATAAATATAATTTAATCAACTCTGTTATTTATGGGTTTTCTGTAGAGCCTCTTTATTATTTGAATAAACTTTATCATATGGTTACCATAGAAATGACTGATAAAAAGAATTTTTAATTCAAGGTATTTTAGAGTGGGGCTGGAACCACTTTAACGCTCCACTCGTTTACAATTCGCCCGAATGCCGAGAGTAAACATTCGTTCATTAAAAAACAAAATGCGAAAGATAATCGAGCGCATTTCAGTGTCCGTCTTGCATTATTCATCTCACTTAAATGTCTAATTTGCTTGCACATCCAATAATGTAACCTGATTTAAATATATTGATATACCAAATGTCATGTGCTTTCAGAAGATACTAGATAGTAACAAATTACGACATTCTGAATCTTTGTGGTTCCGCGAAGTCGCACATTTAACGTTCACGACTATCACGACAATCACGCACTGCTCTAATACACACATCTATCTATATTTGTATACATACTACTTGTATATAGGTGCTATATACTGTACGCACTATCACGGCCACAACTAAGTACTATTAGAAATAAAAGTATTTCGCTCCAAATGCTTATCATAAATGAGAAATGTTGTGGCATAACGGCAGTTCGGTTTCGTTTATCGTCAAACTGCCGGGCCATGTGCTCAGTTGGCAGACTTTGGTAATTGCGTCTAAATTATATCATTTGCCATGATTCACCAGACATAGCGTACAGAAATCGCGATTGTTTATTGTTTTGTTTATGCATTTAACACTGCACTTCAGCAACTAATTTTAGTCGGTCTATTTAATTTCATATGCATTGCCCCATTATGATCAATTATCTGGAC